CATATACCAGACTGACTGAGTAGTCCACAGCTTAATTGGGCTGTGTTGTTCATATAACTAGACTGACTGAGTAGTCCATAGACTTATTGGACTGTGTAGTTCATATAACTAGACTGACTGAGTAGTCCATAGACTTATTTGACTGTAGTTCATTTACTAGACTGACTGAGTAGTCCATAGACTTATTTGACTGTGTAGTTCATAAACTAGACTGACTGAGTAGTCCATAGACTTTTTCGACTGTGTAGTTCATTTACTAGACTGACTGAGTAGTCCATAGACTTATTTGACTGTGTAGTTCATTTACTACACTGACTGAGTAGTCCATAGACTTATTTAATTGTGTAGTTCATATAACAAGACTGACTGAGAAGTCCATCTAATAATTTGACTGAGAAGTCCATATACTAAACTGACCGAGTAGTCCATATATTAAGACTGACTAAGTAGTCCATATAATAAACTGATTTAACCTATGAAGATTTAATCAGTATAAACAAACAGGATAAACGCTCAACAAATTGATTAAAGTTCAAACTCAATTTAAAATAAATGTTTTACACATCACCAGATTATGCTTGCAGGAAGGAGGGGTGGGGGAAGAATTAAAATTTAAATGAGTTTTCTAAATTTAAGTTATTTCTGTGTTTTTGATGTTTCTATGATTTAAGTTGCCCCTCCCCAGGCTGATAAGGTTTAGATTAGGTTTGCTCTGAGAAGACAGGGGCAAATAATAACCCTTAACAAACGGGGGGGGGGGGCGAAGGGGACTTTTGACTTAAAAGTAAACTTTAAAAAATATGTTAATTCGAAACTTAAAACAATATTTTAAATGAAACTAGATTTACATTAGTTGACTGACCAATGTCCAGTCCCTCCCTTCCTTCTCGCAATAATTATTCTGACCAAATATTAGAGCCCAGGTGTGGATTTGGGTGGAAAATATTCTAGGCCAACTTAGACCCAATCTAAAACCATTTCGGGAGCCACCAGGATTATATAAGAAGTAAATTAACCACTGATATTGTTTTGTTCACATCACAATCTAGATTGAATATATTTTGTATTTGTACAAACATTATTGAAATACTTAAAATTATATTTGTAAAATTTTAGTTTATTATTTCAAGGGTTTATATTTTAGTTTAAAGGATTATAAACTAGAGAACTGCTTCAATCCATCTTAGCAAAACAGAACATTTTAAAATTATTCAAAATAAATCAAAATTCATTCTTGTAAAACCTGGAATTTAGAGTCACGAAATGAAGGTGTGGCCAATTTTTAGATTAATCTTGAACTAGGAATAATATTCTGTATTCTAGAATGTAAGTGCTGCAAGAAAGCCTGGTAATTGCTGTAAGTTGGACAATTCTCAATGTTTTTATAAATAACTGAAGAAATAACCATTACTTTACCGTCAAACTTTCCCCAGTAAACCCGAGTTCTACTATAGTTGAATAGTTGTGAATACATTCGTTGTATAGTTCTCAAGTAAAAGGTTATCAGAATAACCTTTAGAAGGCGGAGGGGATCATCAGCTCAAATTTATGTTTATGTTTTGCCAAGGTGTTCAGGGGGGAATTGTAAGATATGCGAGTAAGGAAACATCATTTCGTACCCCCCCCCACTACCCTCTTCAAAATATCTTTTCCCCAGAAATAATGAACAATAGGCAAAAATTTAAGTTTGGTTCTTCATAAATTTGGTATTAAAGCGGGGGCTTTGAATCATTTCTCCGGGGGGGATACATTTTCTGAATATATACCCCTGTATACATGTTGAGGAAACATAGAATGGGGGCACTTTCATTTATGGCCTTTCCTTCTTAACCCTAATGCAGCAGTAATATTTCATACCAGAGCCTTTAGAATATTCATATTCTGTGCCTTGGAAACCCAGAAACTTATTCAGAAAAATCACTCATTTTGTTTTTTAATATGATAGCGCCATCAAAAATGTTTTTATCATGAACAAATATTTTGCAAGAGGGGACGTGAAAAATATTTGTAGAGAGACACGGTTTTGCAAATTTTCTTTTTGCATGAGGTTAATGCGTTCGTTTTAAAGCATGTAGTAAATCATTTCAACACATTTTTCTTTCTGCAATTGCAAAAATTCATCTGCATTTCTGAGGACAAATAACAAATTAAACTTGTTGACTAAGAAAAAAGACATTTTCGTTATACTAACAATACTTTTACAAGAATTCCTACTTTTATTTGAATACGGACTTGAGAGGAGGAAGCCGGGGGGTTTGCCACCTCCTGGATAAAGTATGAAAATGACTGATTCAAGAAGTTTGTAAGATTGTTGCAGGTTTTCAATATATTAATCATTCAGTTTCCAGTCCAAAGAGAAAAAACTAATATTCTAATTAGTTTATAAAAAATACAAAATCAGGGATTGCAAGTGGCCAGACAAAAAAATATATATATAAAAGTAGACCCTCACTTTTTTGTCATTTAAAAAATTTCCTAATACAACAACAACCAGAAAATCTTCAAGTAATTTTTCAGATTCATTCAAAGATGGCAAATATAAAAACACTATGGAAAAGAGAAAAAATTGTAATTAATTTTTCATGAATTGATTAAACTCGACATTTTCATTTTACTCCCAGACATATTTTATCAAAAACAACGCATAAACTAAAACAAAATTTGTTCAAATATCAAATTTGTGATATTTAAAATAATAAATTTTCATATTTGTAACAGAAATTGATGTAAGACCTTGAAAAGTGGAAATTAATGATCCAAATCTTTAAGACCAAGGACTTAAAACCATGCTCACCGAAAATAAACTCATCTCATTGAATTTTTCATAGAAAACATCACGGTTTGACGTATGTGATGCGTTAAATCATAACAAAGAAATTACCCCCCCCCCCATCCTCTTATCAACTTAATGCAAAAAAAAACCGTGAAGAGAAAGTGAAATCTTCCTGAGAACATGAGTAAAAAAATCATGCAATTCTTGCGAACATAAGTTCTTAAAAACACGGGGCGGTTATAAGCTAAAAGAAACAGAAGAACGAATCCGATCTTTCATGAAGAAATTAGTGGCAAGTTAAAATGCGAATTTTCGAGGAAGAAAAAAATTGTTTTTTGCAACTTCACTTGGCATTCTTAAAATACCTTGGTGATATTTTTAGCAAAGCTGAAATTTGAAAAGATCTCACCCTGTTGGAAATGTGAGATAAAAATAAAAATATTTTACCCACTGTATGTAGAGATATTTGGGATAATCGTAATCCTTAAAGTTTCTAATCTCATAAAATCCACCAATCTTGAAAACTAATCTAGCGTATTAGTAGGTTCCTGAATTAGCAGATAATAAAGATGTTCTGAGTGCATCAGTTCCCGCATTTTTAAAATAATTTAACGAGAATGTTGACAATGCTTTCACAGGATGTATATGGTGTCTAACTATAGAGACTACACTGAGAAACGAACGTATTTAGAAAATTCCTCGCTAAGGCTATATGACAACAGATGATGCATCATAAGTTGATTGAACGAGGTAACAGTTTAAAGAAAAATTATTGATCTATTGGGGGTTGGTGGGGCTAGTCTGTTAAACATAGAGAAATCTCCCATATATCTATTAAAGATAGGCTATAAATCATTATCGAACCTTCAAGCTTACAATAAGACAGGATCATGCCTAGGAAATATATTCAAGAAAATATCAAATATTATTAGAAAAACCCCTATTTTCCTCAAAATCAGTTTTCGTCGATTTAAACTCATTCATTTTGTGACAAGTATCTTTCCCTGTTTAGACAGTGATGTAGTAGTGTTCCCATACAAGCTAGGCCATGTTTGAATCCCGCATGTGTTTCAATTAAGGCAACTTAAAATCTGACAAAAGTTAGGATAAGGACAAATATGTTACAAATACTTTTTTTCAGTATTGACGTCACCCATAGCCATCTTAATACGATCTGAATATATTAATGTAAATTGTCATTTTCCTTTATTTTTAACCTGCTCGTGATGTTTCCTTCAATACAATTTTTGTTCAACCAACATTTTTTCATTTTCCCCACAAGCTGATAAATTATTCTTAGGGGTATTTATACTTTTTCCCCATTTGTTTTCCCACAAGCTGATAAATTATTCTTAGGGGTATTTATACTTTTTACCCATTTGTTTTCCCACAAGCTGATAAATTATTCTTAGGGGTATTTATACTTTTTACCCATTTGTTTTCCCCAATTGAGCGAAATTCAACCCCAAAAAATAAACACCCAAAATAGCGATTAAAAACCAAAATTTATAATAATGCCTATAAACAACATATCTATATAATAATAATAATAATAATACGAATGAATAGTCAAGTTTGTGTATAGAAAAAAAAATTGTTGATCTTAAGAGAGGAGAAAAGGTTTGTTTACAATTTACTATGACGTAGCGGGAAAGCTTAGTAACCAAGTCTTATGTAAACATTATGTACTGTAAATAATACATGAGAGCCGGGTCAGGGCAATTACATTTATTGGTTTATATTTTAAAGAACCGTCCTAATCTGAAATAAAATGTAATCAAGCCCTTTCCCCTTTCCGTAGTATTATCCCTCCTTGAATATAATTACATAAATAAAAATATACATATATAAGTACGTAGATATATAAATATATAAGAACCAGTCACAAAATATCATTTTTTAACTGAAATGTAGTTTAAAATGTAAAGGAGAATGTGAAGGGAATTGTTGCATCATTTTTACACTAACTCATGCATATATAGCTTATATTCCTGCTATTTCAGGCAGCTTCTCTGGGTGCAAAACCTAAACGTACGTTCACTGCTTCAAAATTAGATTTAAGACATTTTAAGGAATTATCAACTTTGATCTGTTCAAGATGAAAAACTTGTTTTCAGGCTGCACCCAGGGGGGTCATTCATTGCATTCTCTAAATTGTATTGAAACATATCATTTAGCTTAAAAATACAGAAAAAAATCATTCCTTGCAAGTTTTTCTTTTGCTTACCTGTAATCCTCATTTGTTCTCAGTCTTTCATGAATAAAGCACCGGGATTATTTGATATGCGTCGCAGGAAATATATATAGGACTAGACGAATACGCAAAAATTGCGTAATAAATTCATATAAATATCTTTTGCAAATTTTGTTTGTACTTTTGTTAGATCATAGGATTTTTTCTGAGAATTGCACTTCAAATACTTTACATAAAATTTAGTTGATAACTGGTTTAGTTTGAAAAGGTTGGGCGCACATAACTACAGAAAGACTGCTCTGAACTGTGAACGTACTGCATGTCACTGATATTGCTACATAATTAAGCAGGGTCCTTTGCTCGGCCAAGATCTAACAAATACTAAATTTTATTTGGTGGATTTTTCGCCTCCTCCCCCTCCCGCGTCTTCCTGCAATGGCCTATTTCCCCAGGTATAACGGCTAGGAGCGGGCGCTGCAAAACAACTGAAACTTTCTTCTGTCAATACTTAGGATTAGTGCAGCGATACCCGATGGCTGGGCTGCTCAGCCAAACGGTACGCGTCAAAAATTCATATAAATACGGCATGGGACACTAGAACTACTGAGCAGGTGGAGAACAAAACGTCGTGTCGGGTCAGAGTTTGGCGCCCCAGGCGGTCCGTGTTTAACAAATAGATCAGTCGGGCGGTGCCATGACACGGTCCGACCAGCCATGAGCACTGAGCGGACGAAGCTCTGCCCACTTAACCTACTGCCCATCCCGGTGTGATGCCTGGAGAGGACTCGTACCTGCAGCGAACTCTGGTTATGCTACGCGGCAAAGCGCAAGATTCTTTAAACATAAACAAACATTTGGATTTATGGAACGGATTTGTTTCAGTCCTAATATAATGATTTTTGATCTTGTTTGTTTACATTTCAAGAAACTTGCGCTTTGCCGCGTGCATAACCAGAGTTCGCTGCAGGTACGAGTTCTCTGCAGGCATGACACCGGCACGAGGAGTTCCTGAAGGCAGAGTAGGCTCACAAAACCATCGAATATATATATATAATTTACAGGGAGAACCATCACATTGAATTTTTAGAAAAAATATGTTATATATTTTAGTATGCTCATGGAACTTTTTATTTCCCGTGAAAAGCAAAAGTTCATAAATATATGTAACATTTGGTAATATTTAATATTAACAATTAATTCTGCAGCAAAAATTGTATAGGCAACTTTATAATAATTGAACTGCACGTCTTATTGTGCTTTGTTGCGAACCGATTTCCGGGAACTTTTTGTTCTGGACAAAGCTGCGGCGCTTATACTAGGGGGTGGGGGGCCCTGGACATACGGACCCCCTACGCGTGTCTCGGCCCTGTGGGCCGGGCGCATGGAAGGAGGCTCATTTAATATTCATCATCTGCTTGCATTTCATTTCCCTTCCTCCATGGGCAATCTTTATTCTACATTGTATAATGTATTGACGATCTATATGATTCCCAATTCTGTTCCTGATCTCTGTCCTTATTACTTAAAGATGACGGATTACATCCCTTGTTTTTAACTTATCACACGTATTATAGTTTATTAAGATATATATTTTGACTGTTTTGCATGATGTTTTCTTTCCTTTAAATGATTTTGTGAAGCTAAGCATAATAAAACCAGAGGTACAAGGTGTAGAGATTTGAATAAATGTTTACACACTGAACATTTCTAAATTACGAATACTTAATTAGTTTTTAATTTTAATATAGGATAAGTGAAGGTTTTAATCTTTGTGAAGAAACAATCTCAAGAACTGACGAGGGTCAACCCAGACCGAAATATATTTTCAATAAATGTGGAACTAACATCTACTTTTTTACTCTACAGAGGTTTGGTCCATCACCATCACTGAATTTTAATTTGTAAATGTTTGCAAAGATCAAGAAAAGCACAAGCATAAAATTCTTTATTTTTCAAAAAACTGAAATTCGAAAAAAAACTCCCCATGCAAGCTTGCTGCATGAGATATACACACACACAGCTTCTCCTAAAGCTGGCCATATTTTTCATATAATTTCAATTTGTCTCCATCAGGGGCGGATACAGGGGGGGCGGGGGGACATTCATATTTTTGTTCCTAATTCCTGAACAATCTTTTTATTGTCCCTAAATCCCTGTCCTATGCCAGGATTAGTGTGGAAGAGGTTACACAAGGAGGACGTAAATCTAGAGGACGTTATCACTTCTCCGAGAGGACCTAACTGAAATTCCCGCTATACTCCTACCTGGAGTCCTGGGGATAACTCATCAAGTATTCCAAGTAAGTACTAATCCTTTATTTTTGTTCCTTATTCCTGAACAATCTTTTTATTGTTCCTAAATCCCTGTCCTAATCCTTTATTTTTGTTCCTTATTCCTGAATAATCTTTTTATTGTTCCTAAATCCCTGTCCTAATCCTTTATTTTCGTTCCTTATTCCTGAACAATCGTTTTATTGTTTCTAAATCATTAATTTTGACTCTTTTTGAGTCTTTTAAGTAAAACAAATTTTCGTCTGCGGCCCCACATTTTGTCCTAATTACGAATTTTTTTGTTCCTAAAAAATCTTGCCCCCCCACCCCTCACTTAAATCCTGTATCCGCCCCTGGTCTCCATTTGTAACTCTTTGTTGGACTTTCTTTGAAATCATTAATCTGAATCTGATACAAGAAGGGAAAACTTCTTAAAAATACAACAAAAAAATTTAAATCCTTTTATTTCACAAGACAGGATAGGAGCCAAAATTCGACCAAATAATTTATGTAAGAAAACACTCAATTTTTCTTCAATTTGAAGAAAAAGTAATCATTTACACATAATATTGTTAACAAAAATTAGATTTTATGCCAATTTTCTCCTCTTTCTTCTCCCCCCCCCCCCCTAGCACGATACGCGCCTGCCACCCATGTCGAAGACAGTAAACGTTTTTTTAGGATGAACGAAGAAATAATGATGACACGGAAAGTGACAAATAAGTTTATAATCTAAAAAACCTATTGGGTTATTTAAATTAAATGAACAATATAAGCTTATACGTATACAGTTTACAATTCAAATTTTAACGCCAAATTATAGTAACCATTATATATTATTCTTATATAATAACTTATGACTATTGACTCTACCATGATATTTGGATATATTTTAACAAATCGTATTCAACTCTTTAAAGCTGCGAACATCCCAGCAGCTTTCTTTTTGTGCAGACCAATTATGAAGCTTTTCAGCTGTCATGAATTTTTAGATAAATTTCAAGACGACATTCATGCGCTAAAGCTACAGGGTGTCCCACATCATATTAGACCGTCAACGGGTCTAAATTGCGATTTTCGGGACTAATAAGAAAATATAATTAGAATGAATCAGTTTGAAAAATAACATAAGGCTTATATAAGAATTTTCTTGCGGAAAATGATAAGTTTTTCGAGTATTAAGGGTTTATTTTGTCGTTAAAGATTAGAGATAATCTAATATGATATGGGACGCTCTGTATGTTTTCTTACATTTGAGATTGGCTGTATACGATATGTGTATTTTGTAAGGAAAAAAAGAAAGAAAATTGTGATAAAATGATTAAATAGAAAACTGTTTCATCCACTCAAATTCAAACTTGAAAGCTCACCCTCTCCCACTTTTGGTCAAAAACTTTTTGACAGTTGTGCAATATATTGTACAGGGTGTACAGTTGTGCAATATATTGTACAGGGTGTACAGTTGTGCAATATATTGTACAGGGTGTACAGTTGTGCAATATATTGTATAGGGTGTACAGTTGTGCAATATATTGTACAGGGTGTACAGTTGTGCAATATATTGTATAGGGTGTACAGTTGTGCAATATATTGTACAGGGTGTACAGTTGTGCAATATATTCTACAGGGTGTACAGTTGTGCAATAAATTGTACAGGGTGTTCAAAAAGAACTTTGCATTACGCATTTATCAAAGAAGGCACAGTTTTCATTTTTTTGCAATCAAGGATTATATTTAAAAGGTGTACAATATACATCATTATTTATTTATACTGACAATTCTTTCTTCGATATTCTGAATACCCCTTTACTGAGGAGTGAAAGTCCACTTAATGATTTCACCGGAATTTTGAAGTTTTCGTATTTTTTATATTTTAAATTAACTTTGTCGTAAAATAGATATAATTTAGTCTAAGGTTTTATTTTATAAAAATACAATATTATTATAAGGTTATTATTCTTATATTATCAGTGACATTCAGGCCCGTAACCAGGATTTTACTAAGGGGGGTGCAAAGAGGAGTGTTGTAGTATAGGTCCAGGGTCACCGAGTGAAACGTAGTAAATAGAAAAATTTTGTAATTTAAAAGAAAAGATCTAAATAAGTTTTAAGATAAAATTATATTCAGTCAAGAGAAACATGTAATGCTACCTCCAAATACATAACTGAAAAAATGAATGATAAATTTATTTTAAAAATGAAACGAATAATGTGAAATTACATTTATGGGGGAATAGATTTTAAAAAGGAAGAAATCTGACAAAAATGTTCCGGAAAATGTCATATTATATACAGGGTGTCCCAAAAAAACATGGGAATTCAGTGACGAATTTGATATCATCTTTGTTATGAATTAGCATTGTAATACCTGATTTCAAAGCCATAATATTATTACGTCTGCTAGAGTTTATTTTATGAAAAGGGTAAATGACTTTCAATATGTGTCTATAATGTCTCCGCAAGATGAACAGTGAAGACAGACAAGTTTACTCTGTTTGTATACTGCAATTTTCTTGTTTTACTTAGTACAGGGTGTCCCACGAAACATGACAGTTGGTGAATATTTTAGAATGTCTTTTTCCATAATTTGTTGAGTTGTTTGGTACCAAAGATCAATAAAAATATTATATGGGAGTCATGTTATATTTAAATTGATCTCAAAGTAAAAGATAATGAAGCAAAAGGATGTTTTAACTAAAAATAACGATTTTTTAAATATCATGTTTCGTGGGACACCATGTACAACCGAACGCAGTCAAAACATAAACAAACAAAATGTGAACATAGCAGACGAAACTTTTACAGATTACAGCTTTCTCAGTAGGTATCACTATACTAAATCAAAGAATTATTTAAAAAGACGATATCGAATTCGTCACTGAATTCCCATGTTTATTGGGACACCCTGTATATTTACAAGTACAACGTGCAATGTACATATATACATTAAAAAACAATGTACACATATTGCTGATGTTTGCACCTTAACAAATTGTTAAACTTTGCAATTTAAAATATTTAATTAATTAGTTATTAGGATTTATTTGTTCATTTACATAGGAAATTGAATCACAATTAGTTTATTTTTAATAGAGAACATTACAATACAACTTTTCCCTCCCAATTTTATACATTAAAGAATTTGATAAACATTCAATCAAATATTTTATTAAAGAATTGTCTATGTATTTTTAGTCATGATCTGCTGCAAGGTTTATGTTGATCTCTGTATATTGGTGACCAGATCAGTACGCTGTCATGATCTGCTGCAAGGTTTATGTGGATCTCTGTATATTGGTGACCAGATCCCCAACCCTTATCCGTCCTACTCCTCCATCAACAACCTAAATTAAAACTAAAAATAATTTGTTAATTGTCGACGTTAACCTAAAGTGAATTGGAAGATTATCTGTTTTCAAACATATCTCCTCTGTATAAAGATCTATTGATCCTATATTCTCATAATTATATTAAAATTAGAAGAACTACGAGGAAACAAAGTCGTACTAGTAATGTAACGTTAATTTTATCTTCTCCTATTGTCTATAGTTTGCAGAGTGTCCTAGTGATGTTAAGATGTTATTTTCTTGTATATATAAAAATTTTGGGAAATTATTTTACATTAATCATAATATTTTGTTAAGCCAGCTGATGAGAACATTTGACCTATATTCCTATCATTTTGTTAAGCCAGCTGATGAGAACATTTGACCTATATTCCTATCATTTTGTTAACTCCAAAACAAAAATTACCTGTGTGTGGACTCCAAAACAAAAACTACCTGTGTGTGGACTCCAAAACAAAAATTACTTGTGTGTGGACTCCAAAACAAAACTACCTGTGTGTGGATTCCAAAACAAAAATTACCTGTGTGTGGACTCCAAAACAAAAATTACCTGTGTGTGGACTCCAAAACAAAAACTGTGTGTGGACTCCAAAACAAAAATTACCTGTGTGTGGACTCCAAAACAAAAATTACCTGTGTGTGAACTCCAAAACAAAAATTACCTGTGTGTGGACTCCAAAACAAAAATTTCTGTCTCTAAATGTCGCCAACGATCTAGAATTAAATATTTTTAACTTTCCAAATTAAGATTACTAATTTCACCATATTCTATGATATTAAGTGAATTATGCTCTAAAACATTTGTCTATACTATTTATACAAAGTAGTAATTTCTGTTTTTTTCTTTTTGTTTTTTTTTGTACGTCCGATCATAACTCAGGAACCTCCTGATCGATTTGCCTCAAATTTAGATTTTGTAACCAGTTAGAACCATGCTGAGATGTTTTAACTTGGTTTTAAAAATCTAAAGTTGTTTTGCAAAGCTGGATAATTGTACAAAGATAATGAAAGAAAGTTTATTAAACACATAATCTAAAAAATTAAGATAACTGAAAAAAGTAAATTATATATTTTATATTATATATATCTATATATATTTATAATATATATATATTTTATGTAGATATTATGTTTTATTTAATCTTTTTCTATTTATCTATGTAAAAATGTTTATGTACCAGGGCTAAATTTATAACGGTTCCAGACCTTTAAGTTCTCACACCAATTGTTAAAAAAATCATCTTTATAAATTTAAATGTCGAAATACATTATTATGATTATTAGTATTATAAATAAAATAAACGACAACTGATTTTTAGTTTTACCAACCCTGTATCCTCCTGTATATAAAATGTATATATAATGTAAGGGTGAATAAATGTAATGTATTTACGTATAATATTAATATATATTATATACTATATATGAATGGATTAGGAAAACTAATCAAAACATATTGATCGTTATAACACCTAATGTTTCAGAAGGAGTTAAGTTTGGACCAATGAAGGTAGAACTAAGGAAAGGGGGGAAAAGGGTTTATTTACATTCAATCAGACGTATATTAGTACAGCTCATGAACTATTATAGTTGTAAAAAAATTTGACATCGATTGTTCACTTTCGTATTTTCATTTAATTATTTTCTTTTGTGGTCACTCACATGACCAAAGGAAAGGTTTATGGCTGGTTGAAATCGGAAATCGAAAATATTTCGATTTTTACTATTTTAGAAATCCATTATTGATAACATTTAACATTAGCAAAATTTTTAAAAATTAAGAAGAAAAAATGATGACTCAAAAAGCAACATTTCAACGCTAAAATTGTTACTAGAAGATGTGCACCAAGTCCAGTATTTACAATGTACAATGTACATATATACTTCTATCATTCTCGGACATAATGCAATTCAAGATGTTAAATTATGTTATGCCTGGTCTCTTTGAATAATTATAAATAGAATATTTATAACGTAATTTTTGCGGATATTTTATCGAACATGAAAATTAAAATTTTGAATTTGAAAACTGGGACGGCTAATTGGAAGTACATCAAAACCTTCTAATCTCGGGATATCCAAAATGTGGTCTACAGTTTAGTTAGTTTAGCTGGAGTAAAGAAATTATGAAACCGAATTAAAATAGTCCCTAGATTTCAAAGTTAAAACGAAGACAGCCCACAGTTTAGAAAGCTCTGTAGTTTACCTGAGCGGTTCTTTACTCATTTCTCCAGTACTCTGCTCAACCCTGATCATACTACATCTTCTACAGGGACCCAGAACCTGGATATGAGTATTGTGTATCATCATATAAATATTCAAAATAAATTAGACTTAGGTGGGTACTAGAGGGATTTTTTATAGGATTTCTGCTTCGATGTAACTTTTTTGAAAAAAAAAAGTAAAGGACTAACATTTCTAGTAAATTCGACCTTAAGATCGTCATACTTTAGATCTCACTAAATTTTAATCCTTTGAGGGTTACCCAGTATCATGTATGTTTTGTAGTGAATATATTAAATGTCTAGTTTTTTCTTTTACGTTTCTTTTCAATAAATAATCACTAAAAAAACATTCGGATAGATCTCTTCTCTCCTTTTATTGAAACCCTGCGTACAAAAAAAATACAAAAAATGGCCGCCGATTAAAAGAAAATTTCTAGAATACATATGTACCAAAATAACTCTTACTTTCTTGAAAGTTGAAACTTATAAGACACACTTGTATTATATATATGAATTCAAGTGCCCAAATGTATATATGAATGTACTAGTGCCCAATTATATATATGAATGTAAGTGCCCAAATATATATATGAATTCAAGTGCCCAAATATATATATGAATGTATAAGTGCCCAATTATATATAAGAATGTAAGTGCCCAAATATGTATGTAAATGTAAGTGCCCAAATATATATATAAATGTAAGTGCCCAAATATATATATGAATGTAAGTGCCCAAATATATATGAATGTAAGTGCCCAAATATATATACAACTGAATTCATGTGCCCAAATTTATAAAAATGATTGTAAGTGCCCAAATATATATATGAATGTATAAGTGCCCAAATATATATATGAATGTAAGTGCCCAAATATATATGAATGTAAGTGCCCAAATATATAACTGAATTCATGTGCCCAAATATATAAAATGAATGTAAGTGCCCAAATATATATATGAATTCAAGTGCCCAAATATATATATGAATGTAAGTGCCGAAATATATATGTGAATATAAGTGCCAAAATATATTTATGAATGTAAGTGCCCAAATATATATATGAATGTAAGTGCCCAAATATATTTATGAGTGTAAGTGACAAAATATATATATGAATGCAAGTGCTCAAATATATATATGAATGTAAGTGCCCAAATATGTATATGAATGTAAGTGCCCAAAGAAAACAGATTTTGAAGGAAATTTAAAAGAACACCCAAACACACTTCTCTGAGAAAGCAAAACATAATTTACCGGACTAGGACGGACCTAGTTTACGATTTTTATCCAAAACTCGTTTTTTAGAAAAATTACTTTTACCTTTAATTTAATACTGTTATCTTCATACAAATTCTCTTTCTCCTCCCTCTCCTTTCCTTTCATCCCCTCCCTCCCCTTCTTCTCCTTCTTCCCCACCATCCCCTGCTTCCCCTGTATGGAGAAGGTAGTCCATTTCTCCTCTCCAAAACTAATTTCTCCCTGCAAAAGGAAAATATTTTCCCGCGAATATGAAGACGATATTACATAAAACAATGTCTATGGAGACACCCTGTAACTAAATGTATAAAATGTAAATCTAAAACTGCAGTTATGAAAATCAATATTGACACAAAAAGAATAAGGCCTCAGAATGAAAAAAAATACTGTATTACTTCTTTAAAAATTATTAAAACCGATTTCTAATAATAATTTGCAATTGTCCATATCTTCCTTCCTGAATTATAAGATTTCCTCTAAATCTATCTGTTAGAGAATCAAGATCATCAAACCCAGTATAATCCTCCCCAACCTTTTCACAGTTCTCCTTTATCCTCTCCTGTAACCTAAACATGGAGAATATCAAACCCATCTCCAACCTTCTCCTAGTTCTCCTTCATCCTCTCCTGTAACCTAAACATTGAGAATATCAAACCCATCTCCAACCTTCTCCTAGTTCTCCTTTATCCTCTCCTGTAACATAAACATTGAGAATATCAAACCCATCTCCTTGATCTCCTAGTTCTCCATGAGTACATGAAGTTGATGGGATCCAGGAGTTCATGAAATATGATCGGATCCAGGAGTTCATGAAATTGATCGGATCCAGAAGTTCATGAAATTGAGCGGATCCAGGAGTTCATGAAACTGAGCGGATCCAGGAGTTCATGAAATTGAGCGGATCCAGGAGTTCATGAAATTGATCGGATCCAGGAGTTCATGAAATTGAGCGGATCCAGGAGTTCATGTAATTGAGCGGATCTAGGAGTTCAGAAATTGAGCGGATCCAGGAGTTCATGAAATTGAGCGGATCTCCAAACAAACAAACGACAGACATTATTACTTTCCATATATAGATGCCACTAGTGTTTAGAGACATTTTATAGTTTGCAATTGCACAGGGAGAAAAGGAAGTGTAGCCTGACAAAAGACAACAAACTTTGAAAAACTAGTGGCACGGCTCACTCCCCTAATTTTGCTCGGGTAGGGTGGGGGGGGGGTGTAGTGGAACGGTGCCCCCTCCCCCCTGAAACCACGCTGTATCCATGAATCTAGAATCCCTGTATCGGAAAAATAAACACAAATCTGGTGAGCCAACTTGGCTCTCGGCTATATGTTATGTCTTCGTGTGAGTAATGAAAAAAAAAAACTAAATTCCAGTATTACACTCTTATGTGTTTTTATTAGATATAAAAAAGTATTTTTTTTTATTTTAAAGGAATTGAGTTTTGCCTTACACTTTGATTTTCTAATCCCTCTTCACAACCCGATTTTGTAGACCTTTGATATTTCAAGCTAAAAATAATCAAGTGGCGTATGTTTTAAATATCAAATGTTAACACAATAAGGTTGGAAAGATTAAGGGATTAGAATCTTTCTTTGTATCGTGATGTTATTCAGGGTTTCCAACGCAATTTGATTTTACGTTCGCGTAATTGCGACCCCTTTAATTCCCCAAAATTCCGCGCAATTCTGCCTGAAATCCCCCAGTTTATACCTTAGAATGCTTGAAATATTGAGGGTTAGAATCTGACTATCATTGGCAAGTGTTGAACTAGGACTCTCGCGAGCACTCATTCTTTTCAATCCTCGAACCAATCTAGAAAATTACAGATTAATTAATTTTTTGATTGATTTATCGATTAATAAATAAGATACTAATTAACAATGTTTTTACCTAAGGCCCTGCCTGCCTAGAGCAGTATCTAACCAGTTTGCAACTTCAGGACCACAGGATACTCCTTCCATCTGCTCACCACAGATTTTACCTTCAGAATTTCAACATTTTAAATCCAAAGGCCGGAATTTTTGAATAATTAACCCCGCCAAAAAACCCAATTAATCTTTCGATAAACCGTTTAAAGAACGGAAACATGGGTTTATTTCGACTACCGGGTCGACTTTTAACCTGCTGGAGCAAACTCTACAGTGCACAGTACACATACAAACAATGCATGGCAAAACGGAACGGTACGTCAATGAAATGAAAAATCCCCTTCTATAGAAATTTCTGTGCAATTTTATTAATTTATTCCCTCAATTCTAAATTTTCTGTTGCGCAAATAAATCAAAAATAACACCAATTTATGCGTATGTTGAAAAAATGCATGGGGATTATGTGAATATCCAAGCTGAGTTAAATCCCTAAGGATAAAGGCCCAAAAAAACCTATTTTAACCATCACGCTATACAATGTTAAGTTGGTTAAAGGGCAAACTTCTGTTGACAATTCAGATCTCGACCCTCCTCTCAAAGCTCTGTCAAAAATTTTAATTTTCATAATCACAATATCTTTGCAATGCTGTACACATTTTTTATTTTAAACATGGACAATTTGATCCAACAGAATTCATAATTTAAAATATTGCAAAGATATAGAGATTAGTAAAGCTGGATTTTTGGCAAAAACCTTAACTCCTTTTACATACTAGCTGCATGCAAATCTTACTGCAAGGGGTTTCTCAGATTTATACAAAAAATCAACATAAAGTCCGTTTGAATTTATTACCTATACAGATATCCTCGGCTATCCTGTTCTTCCTTCTGTCCTCCGATAGGACAAGGTCGACCTCAATATCCTTGAGGCCGGAGAATGAAAGAATAAGAACCCCCCGCCTCCAATCTATCCGTGGTACTATCTGCGCCATCAGAGGATCAGCTTTCTGGGTCAATACTTTAGAACCCTAAAATGTAAAGGAATTGAGCCTTTCACGCAGTATCACAGGTCTTGAGGGTGGAGTTATGATACCAGAGTTACTGATTTGGAAGGAGAACCCCAATCTAAAAAGCATATATCATATATGCATGTCATTTAATAGAATTAGGAGTTTATATAGAAGTAGTTGACTATTTAGTAAATAAAACAATGCGTTGCGTACAACGACGCAAAAAAAAATTATGTTGGTGTGCAAATTTAAGATCAGAGAGAAGTTCTGGGAATCATTGAGTCAGTACAATGATATTTTTAAATTTTGGAATTAAATAAAAAATGTTGTTTATGAAAATAATTTCAAAATATGTTGTCAGTTTCTAACTGTTGAAAGTGTGGTAACCCAAAGTCTAAGCCCAGCCAATAAGAGTTCGACATTCAAATACACTTCGAAAGGCTCTGCCTGATTTAAGTCAAACAGGATGGATAGATGGTTATAAGTTAATTCTACATGCTTTGTCACAAACTCTGCTTTTCTTATAACTATATCTTTGCAACCCAATGTCGTAGACCTTAGATATTTTAAGCTATGTTGGATCTGTTGGATCAAAGAATATAATTTTAAAATATTAAAGATGCACTCCATGAGGTTGCAAAGATGGATTAGACCATTTAAGTTAGTGGCCAATACTCGATTCTTTTATCAATTATGAAAAATATTTAAAATTATGTTTGACTATGTTGAACTAATCTCATTTTTAAAGCAAAACTTGCTTGTGGGGTCTAAGGCACTTATTAACAATTCGCAGAATATGAAAAGGAATTTGAGCCTTTGCCACAAACTCTGATTTTCAATTAACATTATATCTTTGTAACCCAATGTAGTAGACCTTAGATATTTTAAACTATTAAATCTGTATAATATTTCAAGTTAGAAATAATATAAATTTACACCATCAGGTTGCGAAGACAATTTGAGTTCGTGGCAAGACTCAATTCCTTTCTCAGTTCTCAAGACTTTTTAGATTGACCAAGAAGTTCAACCGAGATTATAAATTTCCAACTTAGAATACAAAAATTAACATTAACAATAAAAGAAAGGGCTATTTTTGTCTAATATAGATGGGGGGAGGAAGGAACCCCCCCTCATGATTTTCCACTTCTAATTGAGATAGGGGAGTGTGATACATATCCCTAGTCTAACCTAGTCCAAGGCCTGCTCATTAGACCTCTAACGATCAAGGGAGAAATTAAAAAGTTAAAATATAGTTACTTTTGACAATAACTAACATGTGACACATGTTATTAAATTCCTTTTTCAAGGGATTTTTAAATATATTAATGTTAGCCCTGTAGCTTAATCTTTAAAAAAGTTATTAAACATTTCTGTTTTTGTTTGAGATACCGACCCGCCGTTTGAATGTCCTCAACCCGACCCTATGCATAAAAAAATGTTTGGCCAAATTTGTGTTGCCCCTGGGTCCAATTGTTGAATGACCCGGACTGACATATACAGGGACTTCAGTTACTGGTCTAGTGTAATAGTTCTACATACACATTTACTCGTACCAGCCCGTCTAGTTAGCACCCTGTGTTTTGTGTAGTTTTATGCAACAAATATGTACGTTCAAGAAAAATGCTTGAAATAAAATCTAAAACTTATCTGTAAGCTTTAGCGTATTAATTCAAATCAAATCAAATCAAATATATATATTTGTCCCAAATCTTCCATAAGTAAAATAATCTAAAAAGTGAAGAATCTAAATGATTAGCTTACCTCCATAATGACCCACTGCCTGTCGAACTCTAGACCTTGTTTAGTCATATTCCAGGCAGATACTTTGATGCCTCGGCAGGATTTCACGGGGTACACAAATACTCCAACTACCTATGTATGTACCAGGTATAAATAAATAGGATTAGTATTTAATAAAATTAAAATATTACATTTTTTTCTAGTTATTTCTGATTCTAGTCAATATTTTTCCTCATTTACAAATTTCTATCAATTGACAAAAGGAACTGAATACTTGTCTCCAACTCTTCATTTCTACTTTCTAAATCTTTGCAACCTGATGGGGCAAACTATAGTCTGGCAGAATATTGAATTATCATAACTGTAAATCAGATTGTAAGGATTTATGGATTAGAATATGTTAGTTTGTTGAGTTCCAAAAACAAAATTGTAAAAATATGAGAAAAAAAGAATCTATTTGATCAAGGAAAATATCTACAATTTAACCTCTTCAACAAAATTTAATTTTCAAATCCCCCGTTATTTTTATATTTTTATGTTTCTATGCATTTCTATATTTATTTGTTTTTAATTTATTTTACAGGGTGTCCCACGAAACATGAGAGTTTGTAAATAGTTTTGAATGTCGTCTTTCATACACTGTATTAGATATTACAGGCTGTTAGCAGTTTATTTCATTTAAAAATCTTTTGCTCAAATATGTTTTACTTTGAAGTTAATTTTACTATAGTATGACTCCTGTATCATATTTTTATTATTGTCTTTGGTATTAAACAACTTAACAAATTATGGAAGAAGACATTCTAAACTATTTACCAACTGTCATGCTTCGTGGGACACCCTTTATCTAACCTGAATAGTTGAGTTAGGATCAGCTGTTTCTGGCCTATTGGGCTCCCCTTCAACAAAATAGTTACGTAGCAGACTCATCAGTTTATCACAATCTGTCTAGAATATATTTAGACATAGTTTATCACAATCTGTCTAGATTAGATTTATAATAGTATATCACAATCTGTCTAAAATATATTTAGACATAGTTTATCACAATCTGTCTAGATTATATTTAGACATAGTTTATCACAATCTGTCTAAATTACATTTATAATAGTTTATCACAATCTGTCTAGAATATATTTAGACATAGTTTATCACAATCTGTCAAGAATATATTTAAACATAGTTTATCACAATCTGTCTAGATTATATTTATAATAGTTTATCACAATCTGTATTTCTTAAATAAACATACAAGTAAATTATAAAAAATATTTTTTTTGTAAAAAAGTTTTATCAAATATTACCTGTGTTGACATATAACCATAGGATATTCTTATTGAGCCTGTAGGTCGACCGTTCAATATATCTACACAAATATGCAGCCATTTAGTTAGAATCTAATATATCTACTTAAATATACAACCATTTAGTGTAAATTTAATATATCTACTCAAATGTACAACCATTTAGTTAGAATCTAATAAATCTACTCAAATGTACAACCATTTAGTTAGAATCTAATAAATCTATACAGCCAATTAGTTAAAATCTACACAAATATACAACCATTTAGTTAAATCTACTCAAATGTACAACCATTTAGTTAGAATCTAATAAATCTACTCAAATGTACAACCATTTAGTTAGAATCTAATAAATCTGCACAAATATACAGCCATTGAGTTAGAATCTAATAAATCTACACAAATATACAACCGTTTAGTTAGAATCTACACAAATATACAGCCATTTTGTTTGAATCTAATAAATATACTCAAATATGCAGCCATTTAGTTAGAATCTACACAAATATACAGCCAATTAGTTAAAATCTACACAAATATACAACCATTTAGTTAAAATCTACACAAATATACAACCATTTTGTTAGAATCTAAGAAATCTACGCAAATATACAACCATTTAGTTAGAATCTAATAAATCTACACAAATATACAGCCATTGAGTTAGAATCTAATAAATCTACACAAATATACAGCCATTTAGTTAGAATCTACACAAATATACAGCCATTTAGTTAGAATCTACACAAATATACAGCCATTTATTTAGAATCTAATAAATCTACACAAATATACAACCATTGAGTTAGAATCTAATAAATCTACTCAAATATACAACCATTTAGTTAGAATCTAATAAATCTACTTGAATATACAACCATTTAGTGTAAATCTAATAAATCTACTCAAATATACAGCCATTTAGTTACAATCTAATAAATCTACTCAAATATGCAGCCATTTAGTTAGAATCTACACAAATATACAGCCAATTAGTTAAAATCTACACAAATATACAACCATTTAGTTGAAATCTACACAAATATACAACCATTTTGTTAGAATCTAATAAATCTACGCAAATATACAACCATTTAGTTAGAATCTAATAAATCTACACAAATATACAACCATTTAGTTAAAATCTAATAAATCTACACAAATATATAACCATTTAGTTAAAATCTAATAAATCTACTCAAATGTACAACCATTTAGTTAGAATCTAATAAATCTACTCAAACGTACAACCATTTAGTTAGAATCTGATAAATCTACTCAAATGTACAACCATTTAGTTAGAATCTAATAAATCTACTCAAATGTACAACCATTTAGTTAGAATCTAATAAATCTACTCAAATGTACAACCATTTTGTTAGAATCTAATAAATTGTAACCGGTGTGATCTCAATAGCTTGGAATAAGAGTAAGTTCCATTGATGTAACCCCCTCAGTTATTAATGAATCATGGGAAGCAAGAGCTCTCTGGCAGACTCTCCGCCTTTCATTCGCCTCGTACGACGAGTTAATTTTCTGTCCTCGTCTTGGTCATAACTGACTCCATTTTGGTTTTAGCCCCGGCCGATCCTATTTTCTCTTTCTAAGCCGTGGTTCATGCTTATGGCTTGAATTTAAACTAGGATCTGGGGTAACGTTTGCTTCAGTTTTCCACGTGTTCAAACATGCCCTCAAAGCATGGTTTTTTTCATGGTTGGCATTTTCTAACGACAAATTTTTCTCCACGTCGGCGACTTATCATCCGCCCCCCACTTACTGTCCGAGCTATAGCTATATAAAAAAAGAGCTAATACTTTGTCCTGGTTATAAGCCGACTACTTGCAATCCGAGCTTAGCTCCGGGTCTGTATGAGGACTAAAGGGGTTACATCTATGGAACTAACCAATCTAAGTTAAGCTCCGGGTTCGTTTGAGAACTAAGGGGGTTACATCAATGGAACTATCCATATTCTGAGCTATTGAGCTCACAACGCTTACAGTATCTACTCAATTAAGCAACCATTTAGTTAGAATCCAATATATCTACTCAAATATACAACCATGACAGTTAGAATCCAATATATCTTCTCAAATATACAACCATGACAGTTAGAATTCAACATTATTCAATATATATCATTTAATTCGCCGTACAATGGTACATTTTTCTATTATTTATTTTTAGATAGAAACACGTGGATATCTTTATCATATTTGCTCAGGCGAAAATTAAAGGGTAAAGCTGTGAATCAGGCCCCATCTTTAAATGGAGATTAAGTTGAAATTTTTTCGAAAGTCTCTTTAAATCATTTTTATTGAATTGAGTCTATAGATAGAAAGATAGATAGAAGATGTGGTAAATGATGAACAAATATTGACAACAGATTGCAGATAAGATTGGTTCCTGCCATCTTCAATCTTTTTCAAGTTAAACATTTTAGAATATTTTTGAATTCTCGGGAAATTTGGATTGGAAATTGTCAGAGTAAAATAAAATAGATTGAAGTTCAGAAGTAACTTGAAAACTTGAACGATATTTTTGAAAAGATAATTCAAAATACTTTGAAGAGGAATTGAAAGTTTTGCCTCTATTAAATATTTTATTAAGAAGATACTGTAAAATCTACAATAAACACATATTTTGGAGATATTTAAATAAACCAGTCATTGTTTTTCAACAAATCTTTATATCTTTATATCCTTATATCTGTAAAGCCTGATAGTATAAACTTAATTATTTGAAACTATTAATGTTAATAGATCAAATAGTACAGGTGTGCATCATTGGATTGCAAAGATAGATTTTTTGTAGGTTGTAATTAAACTTACATAGATCTCTGACTGCCATGAAAAGTTGCATTTACCGTAATAACTTAATTAATCTTTTCTATAGCCCCTGAAATTTAGCGAAAGCGCTTGCAATTTTTAGGTCACTGGAACTGCAGAAGCTATAGTTAATCTAGTGCTTATAGCCATGAAATCAGCACAGTAATATTTAGAGAAAGGAGGATACACCGTACAGTGGACACTGTACACTGTATACTGTACACTGTACACTGTACACTGTACACTGTACACTGTACACTGTACACTGTATACTGTACACTGTACACTGTACACTGTACACTGTACACTGTACACCGTACAGTGGATACTGTACACTGTACACCGTACAGTGGAATAAAATAGTACAACCTGTATTGCAAAAACACCCTGTTCTAACAATGACGTTTTCTGACTCCGCAACTCTAATAAAAAAGTAAAATACGGTGATTCCCAAAATATTGTGCAAAATGTACATCGATACGTAGAATGCACTGAAAATTGTACAAAGTACAGTGAGCATTTTGTAAAAGATAAATCTCAATTCAATTCATCAAAACGTTTGAATTCATAAATATAAACTTACGAAGATTCACCAAAATTTCACCTTTTTGGGAAAGGAACTTGTTAATGATTACTCGTTACAAACTGTAATTTTCGAATCCCTGTATCAGGTTTCAAAGCTAAGAGGTTAGAAAATTAGATTTTTAATTAGATACTGTACAAAAATAATAAAAATGGCCTCAAAGCATCAGATTGAAATTATCTGTAATATTTACAACAGAAAGATGGTCGTAAGCTCTCTTAATGCAGTAAACTCTCTTAATGCAGTGAGCTCTCTTAATGCAGTAAGCTCTTTTAATGCAGTAAGCTCTCTTAATGCAGTAAGCTCTCTTAATGCAGTACGCTCTCTTAATGCAGTAAGCTCTCTTAATGCAGTAAGCTCTATTAATGCAGTAGGCTCTCTTAATACAGTAAGCTCTCTTAATACAGTAAGCTCTCTTAATACAGTAAGCTCTCTTAATACAGTAAGCTCTCTTAATACAGTAAGCTCTCTTAATGCAGTAAGCTCTCTTAATACAGTAAGACCCAAAAACTGTGAAATAGGAAGACGTCATTTACGAAACCCATGTGCATTTAATGTTGTTATAAAGCAAAACGTGTCGATCCAATAGTTTGAAAATCAATGGAACGATTTTTTTTAAAACTGAAAAATAACGGAAACTCATGCCAGTTGGACTATTCAAAATCATAGCTTGATACTAAGGTTCTTGCCGTCGTCTTCATATTCCACAGTTTTATGGGTCCTGTATAAGGTTCAAGATGAAGAAGTTGATACCTTTTGAATACTGAATATCCAATATATCAAGAAGTCGATACCTTTTGAATACGGAATATCCAATATATCAAGAAGTTGATACCTTTGAATACTGAATATCCAATTTATCAAGAAGTTAATACCTTTTGAATACTGAATATCCAACTTATCAAGAAGTTAATACCTTTTGAATATTGAATATCCAAAATATCAAGAAGTTGATACCTTTGATTACTGAATATCCAATTTATCAAATAGTTAATACCTTTGAATACTGAATATCCAATTTATCAAATATTTAATGCCTTTTGAATACTGAATATCCAATTTATCAAGAAGTTGATACCTTTTGAATACTGAATATCCAATTTATCAGATAGTTAATACCTTTTGAATACTGAATATCCAATTTATCAAGAAGTTGATACCTTTTAAATACTGAATATCCAATATAGTTCCCTCTAGAGTCCTTCAGATTGAAGTTGATGATACCCCCCTGCTTGTTAACATCATCATACTTCAAATAGAATTACTTTAACATCCAAATTTTAATTTATGAATTTTAAAAATATCAAAGAATCAAAAAGGGGAAAACGGGAGAAAAACATGCAAGCTGCTGTCCAGTTTTGATTTTTCCCCAAAAAAACTTTGAAAATCAAAAACCTTACTCAAGAATAATGCTTTAAAATGTTTTCCATTGATAGGTTTTTACCTGAGTTTTTGAATAAATCTCGACCACCGGTTTTCCATTCCAGTGAACTGAAAACAGTTCAAGTCTTTAAAATCAGATATTGTTAACAAATAATAAGCGCTCCTTCAAATAAGGGTTGCCATCAAAATTTCTCAACAGCATATATAGTCTTAAAAAGATGGCATGTAAGCCATAAATATGAATTGCTCGATACTTTATATTTGGCTTTATAGAATTTTTCACGTGATAACATGGATGAAGCTTTACCCATCATTACAAACTACCCTTGTTACCTAATCTGTTCAACCTATTGAAGGTATACTGAGCTAAGGCGAAGGTGTGTGCAGATATTAAGCTAAAGTCTTCTCCTAGATTAAAACTGATTTTGTAAATACTATTCAGAAACTAATTCAACATAGTTTACGCAAAGGAACTAATATAACATAGTTTACGCAAAGGAATTGAGTCTTTGTAATAAACTCTGATCTTCTAATACCTATATTTTTTCCAGCTGATGGTGGAAACCTTTGATATTTCAAACTTAGATTTCTTCATCTAACCGAATTCATAGTTTGAAATATCTAAGGTCTACAACATTGGGTTACAAAGATGTAGAGATTAGAAAATCATAGCTTGTAACAAAGACTCAATTCCTTTAGCTTTAACCCTATCCCTGCTGGGGTACTTGAAAACCAGGATACGCTGGGGGGGGTCAATTTGACCCCCCCCCTCTAAATCCCATGTTTTATGTCCAAATATGACAAATGATACATCATTAGAAAGCTCTTGTGCTCTACTTGTAGAATCTGCAAAAAAATTTGCAAATTTGCGAAAATTGAATTTTTTATCGCAAAATCCAGTTTTATAATAAAAATGTTTGCAAAAAAAAATTTGTCCAAAAAAATGACAAATTATACATTTTTGAAAAGCCCTTGACCATGCCATTTCAAATATGCAAAAATTTTTGCAAAATTTTAAATAACCTGATTTTTAATCAAGAAAAACTAAAAATGTGCAAATTTCCTTTGACAGGTTGTTTGCAAAAAATTTGCAATTTCGCAATCCGTTTCCTTATGTCATAGGCTTTCCAAAAAGCTAAATTTTATCAAAATCTGATAAGTGAAAGTGGGTCAAAACAAAGATTTAGTTTGTTACAGGCAAAATCAGTCATTCAGGCAGTGTGCCTGAGGACTCAGGCAGTTAGTATTAAAGCCCGGTTTTAGGCCTAAAGGGAGGGCTTTGAGTATGTAAGAAAAGTCAGAAAATTTCAACAGCCTCAGACCAATACTTTTTGAGTTATGTAAAAAAAAACTACAGGGGGGGGGTCAAATTGACCCCCCCCCCCAGCGGGAATAGGGTTAAATTTATCAGAACTGTATCATATTAAGATTTTTCTTGTAAAATTTAACTTCTACGCACGTGCTCTTTATTACTTTAAACATATAACCACCCCAAAAAGTAAAAATAGAAAATGCGGAAAAGTAACTGAGTTTTTGCCATAAATTCTGATTGTCAAATCTTAACAACCTTTGATATTTTAAAACTATGAATTCTTTTAGATAAAATAATTTATTAGATATAAAAAGAAACTGAAGTCTAAATTATTTCTAGATAGTTAATAACTTTAATATCATGGTAATTTTTCATGTGTAGTCAGGTTTAGGCAATAATACATTTAGTGATTTTACAAAATGTAAACTTTAACATTTATAGATTAAAAACTATTTTTTTAATGACTCTCGACTCTTACCTATAATATTTTTGATTGTTAGAAATCCTGTCTCTACAGCCTGTACACCTGCAGAAATAAAAATTGAAAAGAAAATTTGGAAAAAAGATGAAATTGGCAATTTTAAATTTCCATTGTGTGAGATTTTTAATGAAAATATCAAGAATGGCAGTTTGCAATATTATAGCAAAAAAAATAGATTTTTTATATGCATTTTACAAAGCGTTCGTGAATTATAAGTAACAAATCAAAATATGAAGAAAAAAATATTGTAATTATTTATAATTATATATGTAAATATTTTAAACTACTAAGCTTTTCCCATCTTCTTTTTTAATTGTGAACATTTTGAGGATTTAATAAAAAATGTTGTGGATTTTCAAAATTTTCAAAAACCGAATTTTGTTAGGAGCAAATTTTTGGAAATTCGATCATCCATAAACCTTTCTCGGGGTCCCGCGAGGTCCCTCAAAAAATTTGGGCCCGATCGGTTCATCGGTTTTGACGTTTATCTGTAGGTATAAAATGCCCCAGTTTTATAAAATAAAAGTATATAGTGTCAAGTTCTAAGGTAGTGAGATTCATGAAAAAAATAAAAAGTGAGATTTGAAAATCCAAAATGAGAATAAAAAATTTTAACTTTTATTTTCAAACTGTGGTATTGGCGGTAGTGAGATTTCAAAATCCAAAATGAGAATATAAAATTTCAACTTTTA